AAAGAAGGAAACAAGAGAGGAGCATAAGACACTGGACATGCTAAATCACTTGCTTCAGATAAAAGATTTTAAATTTAAATATACTGCTCAAAAAAATAAAGGGAACACAACATAAGACATCCTAGATCTGAATGAATGAAATATTCTTATTAAATACCTTGTTCATTACATAGTTGAATGTCTTATTTTCCCTTGTGTTCCCTTTATTTTTTTGAGCAGTGTATAATAAGATGAATAGAGCACAGACCTGGTGGCGGGGCCTTCCAACAATGGAAGGGAAGACAGCACGGGGAGCGTCATCTCCGGCAAATCCAGCCTTGACCAAACCAGAGCCATTGTCGCACACAAGGGCAGTAGTCTCTTCGTCGTCACACATGATTTAGGCTTTACTGAGGTGATCTACAATTTGAAGGATGGGATGTGTGTATGTGTGTTTTGGGGTGGGGGAACACAAAGAAAGAAGGCTTAGGCTGGGTGTTTGGAGCAGCTGTCTAAACTGTCCATCAAACCTTCATGGAATACATAGCATGACGGCCAGTTATAACTGAACAACCACAGGCATGTTATCACTGGAATGACTGACAATTTGATGAAGTGACTAGGTGTGCTATGTCTGGAAAGCTTAATTACTCATATGAATAATATTTGTATTAGGTATCATCCACAGTGCACAGGACTGCCCAATACTATCTGACAGCTGCTTTTAAGGTTTTATAATTTGCAGACACTACCACAACCCACCTCAATTGGTGCAGTTCATAGAGAGCTAATTAGATGTGCCTGTGGCTGCTATTTTTGTCCTAACTTTATGGCACAACTACTGATACCATATCTCCACAGTCATGATTGTTCCTGGAATATTTCAGAGCTGCTGAGGCAGCACCAAAAAGGGACATAACAGAGAGACCTGTGGTCTATTTTAAGCTCAGCACACCCAGTGTGCTTGACAGTGTGAAACAAGTGACACATGGACCTTCTGCTGTTTCAGGTCTAAGAGAGGTTTTCTCAGAGCCAGACCAGTACTCATCTGTCAATGCATGGCCTCAGCCTATTAACTTAATTCACTAGAGAAGAAGTGAAGTTGGCATCTTCTATAAGATGTTTGAGGACTGTTATGTTTGTGATATATAGTTCTAAGGTTTTCAGCATCCATGGCAGTCAAGCCAGCATAGCTGGTATTTCGACTTTTAACTCCACTCTGCCAGTTCAGTTAGTAATTACAGATTGTAAAAAGCCTTAGCTAGCTGCAGCCAAATCACCTGGCCATTCTTCTGAGTAGCATCAGCTCAGACTATAAGTAATGGGCTCCATGAAACTGATCTGTCAAATGACACAGATAAACACAGTGAAACAAGTTGTTAAATGTACTCACCAAGGTGGCACTGGTAGATGGATACCTCCACTAGGATAAAGGCTAATGGTGAGAAGCGCTCTTTAAATAATACCCAGACTGGGCCTGGGGGATTGGGGGGTGGGGCTAAGGGTTCACTCAAGTCCAAATAAGAGCTGGCAGGAAAACTCAACAAGCCACAGGATAGTGGGATTTATATATCAAAGGATGGGATACCTCTACAGTGATGCCAAAAATAGAAAAACATCTGAAAATAATGTGATGCATTTCTGTTGGTAGTTTTAATGAAAAAGGAAGTACTGGCCCTTTGGTAAACCAAGAATTTGTATCTATTATGATTATTTTGTGTATTCTTTAATCTCCTAAAACACCCTGAACATTAAAATGGTTTCTTAAAAGAACACGGAGAAATGCGCATTTTTAAGGATTAAAGTATTTTTTCATGAACTTTATTAAATATGTAACTTCATGCCTTGGCTCAGTGGATACTTCTGTGTTGCAGTTCAATTCCTTTAGTACCTTTAAATCATACGTCAGAGTTAAGACACAAGCAATCACTGTTTTAAAATAATGTGATTTCTTATTTTTGTTGAGCTGATCCATAAAGTGCTATATAATACAAAGTATACTTCTGTAATTTCCCGTTAGAGGTTTTACATTCATAGCCACCTAAGGCCCACTACAATGACACAGTCAGGACAGTGTCACTCATGCCTTGTTAAGGAGAAACATTGTACATGTCTGTAAACCATGCTGCTGGTATGTGAACTGAGTTTCAGTGTGTGGAACAGCTGGTGGTAATGCCAGCCATGCTCTGTGCCTGGTCTGGCTGTCTGGGAGGCCTGTCTTGTCAGTGCTCTGTCCTGATTGGCCCAGCTGTGCCCTTGTAGGGTTATAGTGAGTAGCTGAGTCGTTGATGTGCAGCCACTGAGGTTCATGAACTGCACATTTGCAAAGAGAAACTCCATATTTGTGGCACCTACTTGACAGTATATTGTCCTCATTGTACACCGTACCTTATGAGGTAATACATCTATGCAGAAATTATACAAACATTTGACATATTATTTGCTAATACAACATAATTCCCAGTATATCTCAGGGAGTACCTAGTGTATTTTGATGTTAAAATAAACTCACTTATTCAAGCCCTCAGGTATAAAAGAATTACTCAGATGAAAAAGAGCGGCATGTAATGTTGGAAGTTATATTATTGCCGAAGATAGGTGAGAACATTTTTGGAACAACACTGCCTCACCAGATACCAGATCCCCCTGTTTATAGCAGTATTTCCTCTCTATCCCCATAGACAGAAATTGGATGTAGTTGAAGCATCTCATAGTTATTTGCATGGCAAAAAGACATTAATAGATTGAATTAATATTGTTTGACACATGAAAACCAAACGTTGTGATTCATGATCAGGCTTTTCTGCCAAGCAACAGTGAGATGCAATGCTGTCTCTGAAGCACTGCAGATAAACATGCCATTGAAAAGTTTGTTTTCCCTCTGGAGGAGCTTCATCAAATCTGACCCCTGATGATGTCACCAGGATTAACCATGTAAACTACAGATTCATAACAGAGAGTCAGGTTACAACTAGAGGTGTGGCACTTGAAAGAAAGCACATTTGATATATGAGAAAAAAGATTCTTTTAGATGCATTATGGGAAATGTAGGATTCAGTTTTTCATTTTTTTAGAAATATGTCTCATCTCTCAAGTACCAGTATTACTCTAATCTCTGTGTGTAAACTATGGTCTTTCTGAAAAGAGCAGGAAACAGAGCTTCATACCAAGAGCTGAGAAGTATGCATAAAAATGATGTTAGCACACTCAGGCAGCAGGCCACAAACATTCACCATGAGCTGAAAAAAACTTAGAAAAAAAATCAACTGGACTAGATTTCTAGGTTGAAGACGTTAGTCCAGTTGATTTTTTCATCTTACTATGACCTGGATGACTGAGAATCTGCACAGACATTCACCATGAGCTTCCCTGGAGGAACAAGAATGACTCCCTTCAGCTTGAGCTTGATGAAGAAATGTACAGGACCAGCATCTGATCGACACCTTCAGGTTTTGACACCCTTTGTCAAAAGATGGCAGAGGAAATCACTACAATGCAGAGAAAAGCTGCTGATAAGAAAATGTTCTATCAGAGAGCTGAGAAAGCAGCTCAGCGTTCAGACCTCACTCAACCTCCAGCTCTCTACTCAGCTCAGCACTGCCAGATGTGAAAAGACTGAGGAGAAGCCTGAGGAACAGCACCAGATTGAACCATGCAAGCGCCAGGAGCCCCTCCCTAATGCCCTCCATGATAAAGAATCCACAGAGAAGACTGAAAAGAAGTCAGTCTGAAAAAGACTCTGCCACTCTCTGGGGTTAAGGAAACCAAAGAAGTGGAAGAAGCAAAGGGAGCCTCTCTCACAGCAGACATTGGCTTGGAAACATCTGACAAGTCAAATGTCTGGTGTTAAAATGTTCTACTACAGTAGAGCAAATAAACAAATTAATCAATTAGGCGATATGTTGTACTAAATTACATGACAAACTTGTCAGACGTCATGCAGTGACAGCTGTAACGATCAAATTAATCGATTAAAATTTAATCAATAAAATTGGAAAAGAAAGGTTTTCTATGTGGAGTCTATATGTTTTTAATTGAATAGTTTCTGCAGTCCCTAAACATGTGTTAAAAAGTTGAAAAGTGTTGAAAAGTGCTATGTGCAGACAAATGATTATCTGCACATAGCACATAAAACTCTGGCACAATAAAAACTAAACAGCACTCCAAGTACTAACCTCTGCTGAGGCAGCTCAGTTTCCCCAAAATTTCATTGCATCTAAAAGCAATGTTCCCAAGACAGTTTGACCCTCATAATATGATTGCTGGACCATAATGTCCTACCACTTGGAATGACACATACAATGACCTAACAATGTGTACTTGTAGTTCTTCAGAGAAGTCCCACCATTTGGCTGCATGTAAGTCCACTTTAGAGTCTTCTTTCCACCGTGCCTCCTGCTCCACTTATTATACATCAATTCACATTCAGCATGTATTTTCTATTGCCTACTGAAGACTTAGAAGTCAGATTTTTCCTGGCTCAGTCCTGCACATCTTATGTATGTGAATGATCTTTTCAGAGGTGGAAAGTAACCAACTTCATTTACTCAAGTACTGTACTAAAGTACAACCTTAAGACAGTTGTACTTCACTTGAGCATTTCCATTTGATGCCACTTTATACTTTTACTCTACAACAGTTCAGATGGAAATATGGTACTTTTAACTATAATTAGTTGTTGCATTACCAAAACCTGTCAAACAAATGTAGCTAAGAGGTTACGTACTTTTAAATTTGCTAAAGTCTCAGCCTTCTCCAACAACGAAATGCTACTTAAGCATGACTGTGTTAGTAATTATGAACAAATATATCATAACATACATAACATATAGTATTACACTCATATCGGCCTTTCTTCTGAGTTACATTAAGTACATTTTGCAAACAACATTTCCGCAATTTTTATTTTATAGCAGATATATAGATTTTGTAGATAGATGTATAGATTCTGTTATAGATTTTTTTTATATTCCTATATTGCTTCTGTTAAGACAAAGCACATGAATTGGGCAGAGTTCTGCCCTCTAGTGGCCATTATAGAGAAAGCACCGTGATGACGTTTCACTTGCGACACGCAGATTGCAACAACCATGCGCCAGTTGTACCGTTTTTGTAGTCACTTATGTGAGATAAGTTAATGGTTTAGAATAGTTAGGTAGGAGTAAATAGTAATGAGTACTTCGTCTGTTAAAGTTTGAGTTTACAAATTGAGCGAGGAGCGTGTGGTGGCGGTGAGAGGTGCGGCGGAGCGGCGTGCTGACGGATCCGCCTCTTCTCTGCTGCTCGACTGCTGTGTGAGGGAAGAGGACTGCCATGTAGCCTAGGCCGAAGAATGAGCAGTCAGCACACTCCGCCGGATGGGACAGACGACTACACGGTCCAGCAGGAAAATGAACTAGAAGCCCTCGCGTCTATCTTTGGAGATGACTTCCAGGATCTGCGGAACAAGGACCCGTGGAAGGTAACGCTAGCTAGGGATACTAGCATTGCATTCAGTGGGCTGATGATGGGTAAAAAGTTGACACGTTACGAGTATTACACGTAGAAAACGGAAGTAATAACCCCGACCATTGAGTTTCGTTGACTTCATGTTCAGGTTAAAAGGCCTCCCGAAGTGCACCTCTGCCTGCGGCCCAAAGGGCTGAACAATGGACAGGGATGCTACGTGACTGTAGACCTGCAGGTCAAATGCCCCCCCACATACCCGGACGCGTGAGTACTGACCTCTGACCTTTTCCTGACCTGTGTTCTCTATAGCCGTTGTTGCCACTGCACTGCGACGTATCCATCCTCACAGTGAACAGTAGTATCAAGCAGTCTACATTACAGTTTTAAAAGTGTTTAATTTACATTTTAATCCAAGATATAAAGTGATACCACTCTACTGTACACATCCGATTTTCCTGGGTTTGTGAAAGAGAGATTTAGTTGGTTAAGAGATTTCAGAGGACTGCAATAAACCTAATCCAATCCATAAATCCAATTTAATAACTGGAAAGCCCCATGAAAACACTCAAAATCATAATCATAACTACTCTGTGTGCAGAATTATTCGGCAAGTGAGTATTTTGACCATATCATCTTTATGCATATTTTCCAACTCCAAGCTGTATAAACTTGAATGCTTATTGGATTGAAGCATATCAGGTGATGTGTAATGAGGGAGGGTGTGGCCAAAGGAAAGCAACACCCTGTATCAATGTGTGCATAATTATTAGGCAGCTGCTTTTCCTCAGGCAAAATGGGTCAGAAAAGAGACTTGACTGTGAACAGTCAAAAATTCTAAAAAGTCTTTCAGAGGGATGCAGCACTCTTGAAATTGCTAAGATATTGGGGCGTGATCACAGAACCGTCAAATGTTTTGTGGCAAATGGTTAACAGGGTCGCAAGAAACGTGATGAGACAAGAAAGATGCAAATTAGTTGCCAAAGATTTGAGAAGAATCAAACACGAAGCTACCAGGAACCCGCTATCCTCCAGTGCTGTCATATTCCAGAACTGCAACCTACCTGGAGTGCCCAGAAGTACAAGGTGTTCAGTGCTCAGAGACATGGCCAAGGTAAGGTAGCTGAAACCTGACCACCACTGAACAAGACGCATAAGTTGAAACACCAAAACTGGGCCAAGAAATATCTGAAGACAGATTTTTCAAAGGTTTTATGAGATGAGAGTGATTCTTGACAGACCAAATGGATGGGCCTGTGGATGAATCAGTAACAGGTACAGAGCTCTACTTCGAATCAGGCAGGGTACTGGTATGGGCTGGTATAATTAAACATGTTAGTTGGATGTTTCAGGTTGAAGTTGGATTCAAAATCAACTCCCAAACTGACTGCCAGCTTTTAGAAGAGACTTTCTTCAAGCAGTGGTACAAGGAAAAAGTCTGCATCTTTCAAGAAGACCATGATTTTTTTTTTTTTTATGCTCTATCGCATGCATCGAGGTACTCCACTGCGTGGTTAGCCAGTAAAGGCCTTAAAGATGAAAGAATAATGACATTGCCCCCTTCCTCACCTGACATAAACCCTATTGAGAACTTTTGGGCCCTTCTTAAATGGGAGATTTACAATGAAGGAAAACAGTACACCTCTCTGAACAGTGTCTGGGAGGCTGTGCTTGCTGCTGCACAAAAAAAGTTGTCATTGAAATGAGCAAAATGAACTTGTCATGGGCACTTTAACAACTTTTTTCTTACACCGATTTTGGATTTATATCTAGTCAAAAAGAATGTGAACAATTATGTCAGAAACATACATGGATGGATTACTGAACAGGCCCAAGGGATCAGGCAACCACTGGTCCAGAGCCTCTGTATGACGTGACTGTTAACCTTTAAGTCATTCAACAACGGATAGATGCAAAATGAGTAAAAACAGATGCAGAACAGTCACAAAGAGATGCTAAATGAGCACAAAGAGAGACAACACAAGTAAAAAGAGACAAAAATAACCTCACAGTGACTAAAAAGAAAAGCAACATAACTATGAAGAAATGAAAAATTACCAAAAAGCAGAGAGATGGAAAAATGGTCGCAAAGACACAAAACAACAAAATATAGGTGCAGGACTTTAGTTCCTGTGTCGGAAGGTGGAGCCTTTTACATGTCTGTGCCCAGAGACTCAGCGTCTCATAATCCATCCATGGCATTAAGACATTATATATAGTATCGCTTGAAGGAAATAGGATGAAAATCAGCAAAAGCTCTGTCACAGCTAACTTAATACTGAGAATTTTTCCACCAAGTAATGTTCTAATGCAGGAGTAGCCAGAATGAAAATGATTTAGATGTTATCTGCATGAGCCCACGTGACTGGAAATACAGTGGCTTTTGAAGTTCCAGGTCAACTGTCCCATGTGCTTGTCAGTAATCCAGGCACAATCAGCACAAAAATCCAGTGAAGAGCTCTAAACGCGGCCTCATTGTTTTACCTGTGATCATTGCTCATCATGTTGGTAACAAACATCTTGGGATGCCAACAGGCCTCCAGAGCTGGAGCTGAAGAATGCCAAAGGTCTGTCAAATGAAAGCCTCCACAACCTTCAGAGTGAACTCACCAAGCTGGCTGTGGCGCGATGTGGGGAGGTGAGGACGCACACTCACAAAGTGTATGAAGAAAGATTACTGGCTTACCCATCTTCTTGTCCACTTAGGTGATGATGTATGAGCTAGCGGACCATATCCAGGGCTTCCTGAGTGAGCACAACAAGCCTCCGTTGCGCTCCTTCCATGAGGAGATGCTAAAGAACCAGCAGAGGCAGCAGGAGAAACGAGCCCTGGAGGAGCAGCAGAGGATGGACCAGCAGCGCAAGCAGGAGGAGGAGATGGTTAGTGAGGAAGACTGTGCTGTAAATTATGTAATTTAAACCAAATCAATAACACTAATGCTGTGAATAAAAAAGCAGAAAACCTAATTTTATTAATGAATAATGGATTTGTATCTGGATAGCCAGAAATGTGCACATAAATATATTTTTGCTGCACATTGTTTGCAAAAAATATGAATGATGAATAAACACTACAGAGATGGACGCTAATATTTATAAGCACTGGCCCCATGGGCCGACCAGCTCCTAATGTTGAACCCTGCACACTGGTGTCAGATGTCAGTGATAGAACATCTTTTTTTTTTTTTTTTTTTTAACTTGCTAGGCTTATAAATACAGAGGATGTGACAAATTATCCACCGCGTTTGTGTTTCCTCAAATACCAAAACCCCTAACAAGTAAGTTCATGTTGTAGTTGAATGAGATGCTGACTGTGGTATTTTCCTTCCTTATAGGAAAAAGAGATCATGGCTGAAATCCAAAGAAGGGAGGAAGAGAAACGAGAGGAGAAGAGAAGAAAGGAAATGGCTAAACAGGTCCCAGAGACACATCATTACCACTGAGCTCCACAGAAAAAGCACTAAAGCGTGCACACTGTTTTATCAGCCTACCAGGTTTGGGCTTATATTGTTTCTTTTGTGTTGTGGTAAATTCACAGGAGCGTCTTGAGAGTATGGAGCCCCCAGTTCCAGCCAATCCTTCTGTGTTAGGTAGGAGCCCACCCAGTCCAGGTGGAACTCGTCCTGAACTGACTGAGGCCAGGAAAGGAGTCAGTAACCGCCGTCGGACTACCTCAAGCTCACGCCACAGGTACACAGCTATGGCATGCCAAAATGTTCATAATGAAATAAATAAATATGACATAAGGGAATAACTAATAATGTGTGTGTGTGTGTGTGTATATATATATATATATATATATATATATATATATATATATATATATATATATATATATATATATATATATATATATATATATATATATATATATATATATATATATATATATATATATATATATATATATATATATATATATATATATATATATATATATATATACACATACATACATACATATCAGGTTGCCCTGGTTCCTCAACACCTGACACGAACCTTGTTAACCCGGGCAACATCCGAGCCGGTGTGATTCTTATTTATCCAACTCTCATTACACCATGAGGTAGGCAGGTAACATTAAGGGCCTTGCCTAAGGACCCAGGCGGGATATTGACCATAATAAGCTGGCCAAAGGAGGAGATAGAGGCCACTGACATCAAGACAAGGAAGCTCCTTACAATGCACGGCAGGTTTCACCCCAAGTCCAGCATCCTGAGACTGTACACTAAGCAAGTGTCAGAGCCACTATCCAGGATGAAAGAACAAAGATCCATGGATACAACAGGAAGATGGTCCCAAGTGATGACGTGCTTAGTGAATACCTCAGGTAGCAGAAACCAGAGGAACAAGGGAAGGAAGAGCAGGAACCCTCATGGAAGGACAAACCTCTGCACGGTATGTACCACCGTCAAATATTAGAAGTGGTTGATATCGAAAAATCCTACCAGTGGCTGGCTAAAGCTGGACTGAAAGACAGCACAGAGGCACTAATCCTAGCAGGAGTCTACCATACCAGACAGGACCCCAGGTGCAGGCTGTGCAAAGATGCCCCTGAGACAATCCAGCACATAACAGTGGGGTGCAAGATGCTAGCAGGCAGGGCATACATGGAACGCCATAACCAAGTGGCTGGCATAGTGTACAGAAACATCTGTGCTGAGTACAGGCTGGAAGTCCCAAAGTCAAAATGGGATACACCTCCAAAGGTGGTTGAGAATGACCAAGCTAAGATCCTGTGGGACTTCAAGATACAGACTGACAAACTGGTAATGGCCAACCAACCGGACATAGTAGTGGTGGACAAACAGAAGAAGAAGGCCGTAGTGATAGATGTAGGAATCCCAAGCGATAGAGACATCAGGAAGAAGGAACACGAGAAGCTAGAGAAATACCAAGGGCTGAAAGAAGAGCTAGAAAAGATGTGGAAGGTGAAGGCACAAGTGGTCCCCGTGGTAATAGGAACATTGGGGGCTGTGACCCCCAAACTGGGAGAGTGGCTCCAACAAATCCTAACAATTTTATAATGTGACTGTAAAATAAACACACTTTTTAAAATCCAGCTCACTATTAAGACAATATTTTATGTTTTAAAAATCTGCTTATTATTACATCATGCTTGTTATATGATTGGCTGCTGATTTGGTATTGATCGCATGTCTGTCTACTGCGTTTACCTTGATTAAATCACATGTAAATGAGTCCAAGCTGCTACACAATAGACAATAAAATTACAGGAGATCATAATACCGTTTTAGATCATTAATACATGCCTTCTAATTTTCTTAACTTTTTTTAGGTTTATATTTTATTCTTGAAAGTGCAAACACTGAGACTGAGCAGAATTAAAACAGAAAAAGCGGAGGATCAAAGTGATCATGTAAACGGCTTCACTGAGCTATTCACTAGGCTATTTAGGTTATTTCTATTGCCATTAATTAACCATTCATTCTGCAACATCCAGACAACAGTATGATTTTCTTGGGAAGCTGGTGCTTCATTTGTCAGGCTGTCATATCTCACTAGTTGGCTGAGCTGTGGTGTGACTAGCAGACATTTAATAATCAAGAGACTGTCCCCTCTGTTTTCCACCTTCACCCATTTCTGTGTACTTCGTGCTGCTGCACTTACAGGCTGAACCAAATACAATAAAGTCTGTGTCCAGCCATTGCTGACTTTTAGTCTTTCTAAGTGGGATGTCCTGGCATTTCCTATTTTGTCTGGCCATGTGAAGGAAAAATAAAATGGTGTGCTGGTTTTGATAGTTTCAATATAATAAGCTACCCGAGTGTGACAGTACTCAGATATCAGGAAAACTGAAAAGGCTGGAGACCAACTCTGTGTTATCCATGTTGTGAAAATGCTAGTAATTAAACCTGAATGCTGTAATTAACATAACTTTGCATCACTTTGGACTAGACTGACTCTAACCACATGCAGAGTTATCTCCACCCTGTGTTTAAGATGAGTGCCAACATTAAACTGTATGCTTCATTTACAGTTTTTAAATCGACCTGACATCAGAGTAATGGCTAATATAATACTGACAACAACAATAATTTATTAAAGTATGTGGTAACCTCACCATCCTAACCACAACCCATAATACATCTATGCTACAACCAGATGCAGGAAAACATCACCACTTCATCCATAACGTGTCAAACTGGAGCAAGGCCACGCCACCAACAAGCTTGTTCCTTTAATTTTTGTTATCAGAGTTATCTTTTGAGGTCCATAATACTGAATGTATTGCAGTATCCTCTGTGCCTCCAGAGCAGTGCTAAATCAATGTTACTTATGTCTGACCAAACGAGCAGCCAGTCACATAACTGTCTCTGCCCACTTTGACTTGATTGACAGACAGTCATTTTGCTGAAAAACCGCATTATGACTAAAAGGGCACCTGGAAAAACTGCATTGTGGAATAAAAGCCAACTTTGGAAAAATGACATTTTGAAATAAAAACTTCTGGAATTATATAAAGGGGGAATGGTAGTCTATTATTGTGAAAACAAGCATGATAATATTTCTTAATAACATCTTCGTCTTTCGGCTGTTCCCGTTAG